TGGGAGCTATGGTCACAAAGAGATGTCTTCTCTAACAGCCTACCTTGCATAAGTTAGTGCTGTGGCACAGTCGATCCCACTTTCCTCTCTTCATCCAAACACATCACTCACAACTCTCCCAATCTGTCCCTCCTTTCTGCCTTCACTGTGTCTATTGTCCTTCACTGCAGCTACTCTTGCCAGTGCTCTCAATGCCCTTGCTTTTTTGTCTTTCCTTTTCATTGGGAGTTTGGATAAATATTGATCAATGTTCTCTGCTTCCACAAGAGGGCCTTTTTCTCTATATACTCTCCATGGTTAATCCTAGTCCCTCGCTGGGCTTCACTTCCTGGCCATGGTCTGGTGACTCTCCTATTTACCTCTCTAGTCCAGTGGCCTCTCTCTCTCTTCTTAATTTTTTTTATTAAAAAAATTTTTTTTAAGTTTATTTATTTATTTCTAGAGAGAGAGAGAACAAGCAGGGGAGGGGCAGAGAGAGAGGGAGACACAGAATCTGAAGCAGGCTCCAGGCTCTGAGCTGTCAGTAAAGAGCCCAACACAGGCCTCAGACCCATGAACTGTTTGGTCATGAACTGAGCCGAAGTCAGATGCTTAATTGACTGAGCCATCCAAATGCCCCTCTAGTGGTCTCTTTGGAGTCCTATCTCCGCTAACACATTTCATGGGCACCTCCTAATTCCCCAAAGAAAACTAAACCCACCATCTTCCCAGGTGCTCAAGTTGGGGACTTGGTAACATGGGAGGCCCAGAGAAGTTAATTAACTTGTCCAAGATCACACAGCTTGTAAGTGGAAGAGTGAGGTTGAAGGATTTTCTCTTTCCACTGATCCACATAACAGCTTCTCTTTTATTTAGGGGTTAGGACTATTTTCCTACTCATCTTCAGGTCTCCAGTCATACATAGCACAGTGCCTAGCACACTGCAAAGTTCAGTAAATTTTTATTAAAACAAAGAATGCAAGTATATTCAAACATTTTCTTCCACTTCTTCACTATGCATGTAAGAAAATGAAAGCCAAAGGAGTTAGAGCATTTTCTCATGGGTGTGGTGCAGACTCACTCTTGGCACTTCATACACATCACCACCTGACTAAGAATTGGGTTGATTTCTCTTCTGCTTCTTCCATCATCAATAGTTAATGGATCCAGTCAGTTAAGCGTATGACTTTGGCTCAGGTCATGATCTCATGGTTTGAGCCATGTGTTGGGCTCTGTGCTGACAGCTCAGAGCATGGAGCCTGCTTCAGATTCTGTATCTCCCTCTGTCTCTGCCCCTCTTCCCACTCATTCTCTCTCTCTCTCTCTCTCTCTCAAAAAGAAACATTATTAAAAAAGAGCTAATGAAAGGAGAAGTAAGAGGATATGAGGAGAATATCTAAAAATAGAATTATATGGAAACACTACTGAGGGGATGCTCAGGGTCAAGATGAAGCAGGTTTAGGAAAACTTGCTTCCACCTGTATATATCTCACTCCTGGGCAGGGGTAGATGACAATGCTGCCTGATTCTGTATGTGTGTGTGTGTGTGTGTGTGTGTGTGTGTGCATGTATGTGTATGCGTGCATGCATATGTGCCAGTACTTTGGTGTTTTGATGCATATTGCCTAGCACTATTCACACTGATGCTTGCTCTGCCAAGGGGAATAACCAGGAGATTAGAGGTGATGTGTGGGAGCACTAACCCTACGTTACCCATGAGGGTACATGCGTGAGAAGCCTTTGCTCTTAGATGTGCTCTTTGGCTTCCCATAACCTGCCTTCCTATCTTCCTCAGCAATTTTGCACACCTGCTTTAGGATATGTAACAATGAGATCATTAGGCCAGCCTGGAAGCACTGAATTTCATTCCAAAAGGCATACATGGCTTTGGTCAACAAAATTCCCTGCACATCTTCCATTTTGGGGTGCTGAATTTGGCCTTTCTGCTCTGGGCCATTGGGAAATGGTATTCTAAAATAAAACAAATAAAATAAAAAAGAGAGGGCAAAGTATTTTATTTTAGTTGATGTAGTTTGTCTCAGTAGAGATGTTCAGAAATGTACAAGCTTACAGCAGTGTGTAAGCTTGTCTTATTTGGGGACAGTTCTAGCTGCCAAGTGGTAGGGAAGGAAATGCTCCCTGGAAAGAGAGGATCAGGGTGTGATTTCACTTGCAGTGCTGTTGTTTATAGCTGAGGCACTGTAATTTTTATTTTATCACATCATGACTAAGCACAATGGGAGATGTCAGCGTGTTAACTCTTGGCACACTCTGAAATGGTTCACCAGAAGACCTAAGAACACATCTCATTATGACTTGGCTGAGTGGTATTCTGACTGTCTCCACAACTGGATGAAGAGCCTGAAACAATTTAAACTGGTCATGTGGGGTTAGGTAGCTTGTTATCTTCTCTTTTTTCTTTTTGTTCTTTCTTTCCCTTTTCCTTCTCTTCCCACTTCTTCTTTATAAGTTAATATTCATTAGTATCCTGCACAGTTTTTACCATGGCTTTATTTTGTTGAAAACTTCTGTAAGTGTTCACTCATTGGAGTGGTGGGAGAGGCGGACAAGAAGAGCTTTGCCTAAACATGACCTACATTTCATGTGCCATTTGATTACTAAATCATACCACTAATGTAATATTTCATTTTCTTGATTCATTCTTCATTCTTGCTTGGTTACTACTAATCATTAGAGAGTAAATTTCCATTTTAAAGATATTATTCAAAAAATCAGTGGGGCACCTGGGTGGCTCAGTAGGTTAAGTGTTTGACTTTGGCTTAGGTCATTATCTCATGGTTCATGAGTTGGAGCCCCACATTGGGCTCTCCATTCTCAGTGTGGAGCTTGCTTCAGATCCTCTGTTGGCCTCTTTCTCTGCCCCTCCCCCATGCTCTCTCTCTCAAAAATAAATAAAAACTTAAAAAATTTAAAAATATCAGTGAACTATTTCCTGTAACAACAAAACTTTGCACTTACTAAGCAAAAAAATTAATACCTTGCTGTTTTCACTTCTTTAAAATTTTTTTAATGTTTATTTGTTTTTGAGAAAGCGTGTGAGTGGGGGAGTGGCAGAGAGAGAGGGAGACACAGAATCTGAAGCAGGCTCCAGGCTCTGAGCTGTAAGCACAGAGCCTGATATGGGGCTCGAATCCACAAACTGTGAGATCATGGCCTGAGCTGAAGTCAGATGCTCAACCAACTGAACCACTCAGATGCCCCTATTTTCACTTCTTTAAATTTCACTGAATTATGAATACAAAACCCCAAGCAGTCACATAGAATGACAGAATTGAAGAAACTAAAAATTTGCATCTTTGTTCTTATAATTACTGTGCTATCATTGTTCTGAATCTACTACTGTTGAAACAGGAATATTCATATACAACAGGGACACAAATTGTACTTGAAGTGAGTTTGAAGGATTCTGAACCGTTATGAACTTACCCTGAAAGGAAGCAGGCATCACTGCATCTGTGTGTCAGTTACAGAGGCTGGCTGTATACTTGGCTGTTCTCTGAATTAACTTCCATACAGAGGTAAGTAGACATGAAACCAAATCGCAAAAAATTAAAATCTAAAATTGCCAAATATGAGGGATATAAACAACTTTTTTTTACACAGGAAAAAGATGCTAATTTGAACTTACATACATATGATTAAAATTTAGTAGTAACCAAGCAATTGTTTAGAATTTAGGGCTAATAGAAGATGGCCTTTTGCCCCCCACTGGAATATTTATCACTGATATTGTTTAGAACTGCCAGAGGAGGGTGATTATAAAAAGCAGTCAATTTTAGTTGGCTTAAATCAAACTCTTATTGCCTTCTCCCCAGGTAAACTGCTCCTGTTGCCCTCAGCTTTGGAATGCCACTAGTTGGAACTAAAAGTTGGGAATCTGTGATATGAAATGTGCCCACCTTCCTATAGTCATTCATCTATGCATTCATTTGCTTATTCACTACATACTTGGTGGACACTTGTTATGTACTTTGCATTGCATTACGTATTGGGAGTAAAATGTTGAATGAGACGTGGAACAAAGTGCTAAAGAATTTATGATCAAGTGGGAGATATAGACAAGTAAATTGACAAATAGATATGGAGCAAGAGGGCTACAGCTGGGGTAAAATATGGGAAACCAGTGAAAAGGTCTTGCATCTTGGTTATGCAAGCCCTCAGTGGACACAGCATTGCTGTTGAGACTATCTTTAAATCTGACAACCATGCCTGGGCTGACTTTGCTGATGCTATCTCCCATTTTCTGCTTTTAGCAGGATATGACTCAGGCTCCCAAGTGGACACCCTTAAACTTCCTGTTTCTGTAATTAAGCACACTATGACTCCTAATTAGGTTTTGGTCATCTGGCATCCCCCTCCACGCCCTTCCCTTTTCTTCCTCACCATATATATTCGCATTATGGACTACTGCACAGAAGTGAAAAGCAGTGAACTACTGATGCAAGCCAATGGAGGAATCTCAAATGTTACATTGAGTGATAGACAGCAGACACAAGCAGGTACATACTGTACGATTTCATTTATATGAAGTCCAAGAATAGCCAAAGTCAATCTGTGCTGACAGAAATTAGAATGGTGGTTTTATCCAAGGGTAGAGAGATTAACTGGCACTCTGGACATGTTTTCTCAGGGCTGGCTGCATCAAGACTACCCTCAAAGTGTCCCTTCCATGCTAATCAGGTGGAACCCCAGAACCTAGCACAGCTGGAGTTTCTTGAATGACTGGGACAGATATCAGTGATTTCATATTTTCAACATAGATATAACCTAGTATTTGCATATTTACACCCAAGGTATTTTATATTACACACTAGAAAACTAGGAAGCACTTTCCAGAATAATGGAGACCTAAAAAAAAAAAATCTTTGCAGTATTCAAGTCTTTATTTTATATTTTATTTTATTTTACTTTATTTTATTTTATCTTATTTTGTTTTGTTTTGTTTTACTTTATTTTATTTTATTTATTTTATTTTATTTTATTTTATTTATTAAGCCATTTTATTTCTTACTTTGGAAAGGATGGTTGAGAAAATAAGCATTAGACATGATCCTTTTGAAAAATGGGGTTGGTAATAATCACAGAGACAGTGGTACCACAATTGTATATTTTTACAATATGCTTTCAGAGATTCTTTGGGCTTCACTGAAGGATTGAAGATATCTTCCCCATTCTTGTCATCTACCTTTCTATGCACATCTTGTTCAGAGTTCCATGCAGAAATTTATTGAGGTTCCTTCCATCTTTTGTCTGTAGATTTCATCAAATCTTTCACTCTGAACCACAGTGAAGTGGTTTTTCCAATCCCCCACAGTTCCTAGAAGAGGAAAACCAAGCTTGACAACACGTTTGCCTTTCTCCACCTCCCCCTCGATGCCTACCCTTCCACCTGCAGCCCTCTGATCTAAGAAGGACCCTAGCATGCTCTGCACAGGGGGTGGACTCTTAGCTACAGTGGACAATTGCCTCAAAGGTGCTGGTGCTTGGCCTCACTTGTGATATATTCACATAATGGACCACTGCACAGAAATGACACAGGCCAATGGAGGAATCTCAGACGTTACACTGAGTGATAGACACAACACACAAGAAGGTACATACTGTATGATTTCTTTTATATGAAGTCTAAGAACGGGCAAAATCAATCTGTAGTGATAGAAATTAGAATGGTGGTTGTATCTGAGGGTAGAGATTAACTGGGGTGCTGGTTATATGGGTGTATACATTTTTCAATATATTGAACTGCATATTTCAGAGTTTGCATTTTTTGGTAAGTTACTTCTCAATTAAAAAAATAACTTTTGGGAAAAATGTCATTGAGACACTGGATATGTACGAGCTTTTTCACCAACTAGTAACTACTAAAATAATGTTAAAAAGGGGAAATACTCTATATGTCCGCAGTGCATCTTCTGAAAATTTGTGCAACAGAAATAAAAGCATCAGGACATAACGTGCATACAAAGATGTTTACTATAACATTATTCATAAAGATAAAATATTAAAAACAAAATAAACTGTGGTATCTTTCACTAGGGGAATAGTTGAATGAGTTATGATGCATCCGTGCTTCAGCATAACATGAGACCACTAAAAACAGTGAGCTATATAGACCTACATGCCTTGCTCTGGAGGGATGTCTGATATTCTGGCAAATGAAGGTGTGAAGTATGACCACATTTGGGTTTTAGCCTTCACCATGTTCCATATTTTTGTTTGCATATGTATGAGCCTGAGGGAAGGAGGGTCTATAGAAAGATAAGTTTGTCTGGATCTGAAGAAGGGCTACTTGCCAAATCATCACCATTGATTATCTGAAGAGAAAAGGAATGGCATTTTTTGGTTTGCTGCACTAGCATGGGATGATGCTGTAAATTCAAAAATGCAACAAAATAAAGTAATAAATTAAAAAAAGAAGAAAAGTTGCAAAGCAGTAGTATACCATGGTTCCTCTGTTGTGCAAAAGAAGTCTGTGTTCTTAAATAGAAAGGGAGCCATACTATTGGTGGCTACTTCTGGGGGGCAGGGTTTTGGTGAAGAAAAAAAATTTTTTTTCATTGAAAATGCAATTCCATATTGATCTAATTTTTTTACAATGATATATATTACTTTTTAAATAAAAAAAATGATAAGGCTTTTTTTCCTCAAAAAATATTAGCTGGGGCCAATTAGAATTCCTGTTTTGGGAAGTAGAACTAAAAAATGAAGACAATGAAGCAATGCTCAGTAGCAGTGATAGTTGGAAGTATGATAGCCCATGTGTGGGCCATCATCAAGACCAAGCTATGAGCAGGGGTGCCTGGGTGGCTCAGTTGGTTAAGTGTCTGACTCTGGCTCAGGTCACAATCTTAGAGTCTGTGAGTTCAAGCCCTGTGTCGGGCTCTGTGCTGATAGCTCAGAGTCTGAAGTCTGCTTCAGATTCTGTGTCTCCCTCTCTCTCTGCCCCTCCGCCACTCTCCCTCTGTCTCTCTTACTCTCAAAAGTAAATAAACATAAAAAAATAATTTAATAATAAATAAAGACCAACCTATGAGAAGAAGCCGAGTCAGCAGAAGCTATAAAGTAGAAGTGTAATGGGCAGAGTGACAGGAAGCTGGTCAGTGGAGGAAAGCACTCCTAGCAGATATGTGAAGGACAGCTGAGTCCTGTAAAGGATGAAGCCTTCTAGCAAAAAGCTGTACCCTCCTGCTGCCGAGGCTCTTACTCTGAGATCCAGGGATCCCCACAAGGTCTAGACCAATGGTGGCTCCTGCTCTTAACTACCTGCAAGACTGCATTTCTCTTATACCTCTGCCTGACTTCTCCTAACAAACCCCTGTTTCTTACAACCAAATACCCCAGAGAGCTCTCTTCTGTAACAAGATTAAATCCCCACCTTATTAGTGGCATATTATTTTTAATAGGCTAAGTGTATTGTCTTGAAATTAATAAAACCTAACATCTTCTTGGGGCACTTGGGTGGCTTGGTTGAGCCAATGACTTTGGCTCAGGTCATGATCTCGCAGTTTGTGAGTTCGAACTCCACATTGGGCTCTGTGCTGACAGCTCAGAGCCTGGAGCCTGCTTTGCATTGTGTGTCTCCTCCTCTCTCTACCCACCCCCCCACCACTCACACTCTGTGTCTGTCTCTCAATAATAAATAAATTTTACAGAAAAAAATAAAAAAAGAACCCTAACATCTTCTTGCTAAAAGGCAGACAGATATTACTAGAAAAACTGAGTGTTTGGTTTATACTTATATTTATATAGTATTTGAGGCCACACACACCTTTTCTCATGAAGGGGGAAATGGACGGGTCCAGGATGGATTTGGGAACTGTAGATCGATTTGTCATGGGATTTTCTTTCATTTTCTCAAATGACGTCTCTTGGACAATTTTATCTAGCACTGTTTCATGCAAGCTCTTTCCCATGAACTGCATCACTTTCTGAATTTCTTGCTTTGGGTCCTGTGGTGAGGGTAACATTGCATTGGAATGGAAGATGGTATCAGGACACACATAAATTCTTCAGGGTGTCCCTCCCAGAGGTGCAGCCCTGAAAGAGCCTAGAGTGATTTTTCTGAAGGGCCATTACTCACCCGTTTTATGTCCTCAAAGAAGAGGAAGAGAATCTGGTATCTGTCTTTCATCTCCCACCATCCCTTTACATGGTCATACCAGGAACCCCAGCCCACTGTAACAGGCACAAGAAACATAACACTCTACATAGGGATCACCCAAAGTCCCAGATATATCCTGAGTCCTGATCTGTTTGACTTAGAGGGTGATATTGTATGGTATAGCCTTGGGGTAATTTATCCCAACATGCTACCTAAAATAGATTCATATTTATTGTGTATAATCACATATGCCCTGATATTGGAACAAGGATTCTCTTTGGAATGGGGGTAACTCTATGGGTCAGGTAACTTGGGATAAAGGCTTTCAAATTGGGTGAGAGATATTTGCTGGGACTATGGGTATTCACTCTGAGCTCAGCCAGCCTGCCCTTCTCAGTCCCAGTCTGAGGTAGGACACATATAAGGAGGAACACAACCTTCTAAGGAATCAAATGATTCTTAGATACCTGGATTGGGAACCCAAAGATGTGAAGGATTATCCTTTACCTTTCCCATTGATGAAGGTTTCAAAATACTCTTCCCAGGTGCCAGGGTCAGGAAGCATTTGATTCATCCTTTGGAAATGGTAGTAGGAAACCATGCAGTCTTTGGCATTTCGAGCCACATAAAGGAACTTTGGGGTGACAAGAGAGGAGGGTAAAAGATGGCATGAAAAGTGAATTTTCACAGAATTCACTCAGTTTGAGCCATGCCAAGGGTGGCCACACACACCTGCCTCAGCTCTCCTGTCTGACAGTTCGACTTGGCCATGACCTCCTCCTCCTCTGGCTGTCCTCTTTATCCAAACTCAGTCCTATTAAGTAGCCTGATTCTTGCTTGCCCCTTTAGTGTCAGAGTCCAATCGTTCTCTAGCAACTATGACCTCCCGTCACACAGAAACTACCACATGCATGTGCTGATGATCCTCCCAACATCTCATCTCAGTTTCCCGGAGAAGCAGGATGACGTCTCGGTCTTATTTCTTTCCTGTTCTCATCAACTCTATTATTATCATCTTGAATCACTTCAGGTCTTGCCCTACAAAGCATCCTGTTTAGGTTTCATTTTGACCACAACCTTGACTCCTACCCTCTCAGCCTTTCACTTTAACCAAATATGACCTTTAATGATTGCTAAGTACTCAACTCACATTCTGACAGCATCAATCCTGAGCTGGTCTCATTGACTGGTCACCTTAGATCCATAACTAGTCATTTCAATGTTGTTTGTTTGTTTGTTTTTTGTTTTTACCCTAAAACAGTTCTCAACTAGGAATGATTTTGCCCACTGGGGGACATTTGGCAATGTCTGGAGGTATTTTTTGTTGTCACAACAGGGGGTGGCAGTGCCACTGGCATCTAATGAGTAGAGGCTAGGGATGTTGCTCAACATTTTACAGTGTACAGGGCAGCCCCCTGCCTCTCCACCCAAAAGAATTATCTGGCCCAAAACGTCAGTAGTGCTACTTCCTATATTCTGATGCTTTGACATCCTGGGGCTTTGCTAACCCTGGATGGACTGCCCCTGCCAGGTTTAGCAGGTTACTAGAGATAGTAACAACTCACAATCATGCTCACTTATCACTCCACCAGTCTGGAGCCTGCGTCTCAAACACCTCCCTTATTAGGCTCTCACACTCTGTGCCACTATCCATCTGCTCTAATCACCCCAGGGCCAGGACCACAAAAGCAGGAGCATCATCCCTTCTGCCCCAGAGACTGCAGAAATCATCCAAACTACCCAATCTTAAACCTGCTTACCTGCCTCACCCATTCCTTCCTTCGGAAACCAGAATAAAGGCTCTTGACCACATGTTACCCTTGCTCCCTCTGCTTCCTGACTGACCCTGGTGCTTCCTAGGCGTGAGAAGTTTAAAAAAAATCCACCTGAATTCTTAGGCTTTTTAATTTCTGGTTGGCTAATCATTTAATTAATCTTCCTATCTTATTTCTCACTTCCAGCCACAAGGCTCTCCCTTCTCTCCTCAAAACTTCATCCCATTTCCCCCACCAAGTTCATTTATTCTCTCTTTTGTGGTGTCCGTTCTGCACTTCACCTGTTGTTGAATTTGTGTGTGTGAGTGTATTATTAGCTTTTTTTAGTTCAGAAATTGAAAGGGCTAGAAAGAAAGGGACTAAGTAACAGTGTGAAATAGCCATAGGTAATTAATAACACATTTTTTTGGAAGGTGCATGACAATAAGTGGCGACAAAAGCTATTTCTGTGGCAATCTCACATCCCACAAACACTGACAAGAAATTTGATTGTCAGGGCTTGGGTTCTACTTCCAGTTTTGCGGTCGTGGTTCAGGTCTGAGGAACACCATCTTTCTAACGCTGGTGCTTTTTATCCGAAAGCAGAGACCATGGTGATGGAGCTTAAGGCCACAAACCCGGAGACAGCGAGAGGGAGAGAAGAAGGCTTGGCTTGTGAGGGTCAGTCCTGCAAGCGCAGATTCGCGATGGGGTCCTAGTGCACAGCAGGAGCGGATACCCTCCCGCAGGCAGAGGACCCAGAAGCAAGTGGGGAGATGAAGTGGGACGGGGCACCTCCTCTCTCACCCACGGCGGTCTCTTTGTCCCCGTGGCCACCCTGCTGCAGCCAGCCCAGGCACCCTGGCCCTTCCGGGGCCTCGGCGGCCGCTCGAAGGCAGCACGTGCTGTGTCCTCCCAGGTCCATGTGAGAGAGCCACCGCAGGTGTTGGCAAATCAGAGAGCTTTGGTTGGATTTTTATAGCAGATGGTTATATATTATTTCAGTCACAGAAATCCTGATTATTTAACTTAATAAAAATTATGCTTTAAAAATAGCATCTTATTCCCTTCTTTGATTTTTGATTCAATCTTTCAATTTTCTTACACAACTTATATTTCTATATCTGGTCATTTTGATATCTGAAGTCCTTGAGGTCCAACCCTGCTGTTTGTTCTTTCTGCAAACTCTTTCTCTTGCTGGCTTGTTCCTTTTGTTGTTGTTGTTCAGTTTATTTGTTTGGTTGGTTTTTAATATATTTTTAGCTTGTTCCTTTGTGTATTTTGTAATGTGAGATGGTCAACTCAAGAGGGAGCACTGCAAGCAGAAGGTATCCCCCCTCCCCCCTCCCATCCCATGTTTGTGTTTGCTGGTCATCCTGGGGATGCCACCAATGGAACCACCTTATACAGTTTCTCAGCATGGGGCTTCTTGGACAATGCAAGAAGTGCAGCTTGAATTTCCTCCTTTGAAGAGGAGACCTTCAAAATGTGGCCACACATTTTCAGGGAAGCTGAGAGCCCAGGTCAACACAGAGAGACTTCCGTCCATTGACAGTGAAGCCCTTCAGCTGTCCCAGCTTGGGCTCCTTACTTTTCTGGTTCCTTCTGCTCTGGGATTTGCCCCTGTGCAGCCATTGAAACTCACGCTGCTACATTCTCCAGGTCATCAAATACCCACAGGACAGCTACAGTGTCAGTGACCTCTCTGAGTTCCAGTGCCCTCTTCATTGTGGGACTGAGGGATTTCCTCAACTGTATCTGGATCTCAGTTACACATTTACAAGGAAATTTGTCATTTGTTATGTGTAATTGCTAAGTGTTTTATACAAGAGGTTTCAGGGTGTTTAGTCTTAACATAATCCCAGAAATGGAGGTTCTTGTTCCCTTATATAACTTTACTGAAAGGACCCACATAATCGCTATTGTTCGCTAGAAATACACCCTTCCTAGCCCTTTGTTCCCTTCATTCCCACCTTTGAGAAAACTTCCTTAACATCGTTGGCTGACACCTCAGTTTCTTTCCTTGACCTAATTCATTTGTTTTTCACTCAGCAAACACATTTTGAATGTCCTCTATGTGCCAGGAACTGATTAGACGCTGAATACAGAATAAAGTCCCAGAAGCAGTAAAGCTAAGAGCCCAGAGTTTACTAGAGGTTAAGGCCAACTGCTCCCCTCAAGAAACACTGCTCCATCTATTTACCCTTTTAAACAATCATCAAGATTTTTTTTCTCCTCACTTTTTCTTCTGTCCTCTATTATGAGAATTCCATTGCCCACACCCTTGGATCAACTGTGGACACTCACTATCTCTTGTTATGTCCAAAAATTCGTCTGTACCTTCAAACAATCCACATCTTATTTGAAAACATTCAGGTGAATATCCTGCTGAGTATAGAAGTTTACATTTTCTCTTATTGCTGATCAACAGCACTACTGCAGAGATAGCGGGGAGGTAAACATGATGGCAGTGTTGTGAGTTAGGGTCTGGCGGATTTGCTCTCAGGAGGGTTAGTCTCCCCGCCTGTCCCCAGGGAAGCTATTGCTGTCTTACCTTGCAGTTATTTTCCCAGAAAGATGGAGGCAAGAGCTGAATTGGAAGGTGAGTCCTTAGTATCCGTGGAGAGGGCATTGCTTTGGCTTTTTCCACCCCTTTGAAGTAAATCAAGAGGAAACATCTGTGTAATACAAGTACTGCATGGGGGAACTTATATTCTGGGCTCTGTCCAGAATGTCCCATCACCCTCCACCCCCATCTCTTGACTTCCTTTGGGATTTCATAATAAGATTATTTATTTTACCATCACTTCTGTAGACTCAAACAGCTTGAGAGTTGGAAGGGAGCTTAGATTAATTTACTCTGTCACTTCCAGGATGTGGAGACAGAAGCTGAGAAGGGACAAGTGAGTTCTTATTGTAGCAGAGCCAGGGGGAACCAGAGTGCAGGCCTCTCTTGCCTCCCAGCCAGTGCCCACCCCTGCGTGTCTGCAACAGGCTGCCCATGTACTTGGCCCATGTGCTAGTCACTTGTTTCATCTCTAAAAACATATGTACTTGATGTCACATGAGTTGTGATTTCCACTCCGTCCTCTAAAACACTGACTAGACACTTGCTCTGTGCAATCATTGTGTTAGACTGAGGGAGGGGATGTGAGATAATAGAAAATTTATATTTGTCTCTGCTTCTGCTTCTCGGCACAGAATTCCTGAAACCTCTATAATTTCCTGGGTGATAAGGGTGCCCTGCTTTTTGAAAAAAGTTTTTTTAATGATTATTTATTTTTGAGAGACAGAGAGAGAGAGAGAGAGAGAGAGAGAGAGAGAGAGGAAGTGCATGAGCAAAGAAGGGGCAGAGAGAGAGATGAAGACACAGAATTGGAAGCAGGCCCCAGGCTCTGAGCTGTCAGCACAGAGCCCAATGCAGGGCTTGAACTCATGAGGTGTCAGATCATGACCTGAACTGAAGTTGGATGCTTAACCAACGGAACCACCCAGGCACCTCAGGGTGTCCTGTTCTAATGAGCTGACTCTAGGTGGGCTCCTAGATGGAGGCTGGTCACCAGCAAGACCAGCCATGATTAGAAGCTTGGAATTTTCAGCCCTATCCCCCATTCTTCAGAGAGGGAGGAAGGGCTGAAAATGGAGTAAATGATAGATCATACCTGCACGATGAAGCCTCCATTAAGTCCCTAAAGTCTGGGGTTTGGAGAGCTTCTGGGTTGGTGAACACATGGAGACTGGGGAGAGTGCTGCTCCTTTTGAGCAGCTCAGACCATGTGCCTCTTCTGTTTGGAAACCTTCTATACTCAAGGTGGTTTTTCACACTTGCTACCCAAGCTATGTGTCTGAGGTAGGGGATTCAAGGTGGAGTTGAAAGGATGTGTTTCATTCTGGTCATCTTTGGTTTTGCTTATTTTATATGTTTGGAACCCCTAATAATTTTTTTAAAACTTGTGGTAAGATACACATAAAGTAAAATTTTCCATCTTAACTCTTTTAAAGAGTACAGTTCAGTAGTGCTAATTGCATTCATGTTGTTGTGCAACCAATCTGCTTAAACACTGTACCTGTTAAACACTAACTCCCCATTCCACCCTTCCCCAGCCACTAGCAGCCACTATTCTTTCTGATTCTATGAATTTGACTCCTGTGGATACCTAATATAAGTGGAATCATACAGTGTTTGTCTTTTTTTGGTGACTGGCTTATTCCACTTAGCATAATGTCCTTAAGGTTCATCCTTGTTGTAGCAGGTATCAGAATTTCCTTCCTTTTTAAGACTGAATAATCTTTCATTGCATGTATGTATCACATTTTACTCATCCATTCATCTGTCCTGGACACTTAGGTTTCTTCCATCCTCGGCTATTGTGAATGATGCTTCTATGAATGATGCTTCTCTAGTCTCTGTCTTTAATTCTTTAGGGCATATACGCAGAGGTGGAATTATTGATTCATATGGTCCCAATAATTAAAAAAAATTCTGGTACTGAAAAGAAAAATTAGAAAGCTACTGGTCTATAATTAAAGCCCATATTCCTTAGCAAGACTGTGAAATTGTCCTGTGTCTAGCTCCTTTCCTCAGCTTCCATCGTGTCTCCTGCTCACATGTTACCCTTCAGAGCTATTTACACCTGTTCTGCTTCTCCAGGTCTCTTGTCTTCCTTGCCTATATCTCCGGGCACCTGGTTCGTCCCAGTCACTTTTTAGAGTCTCTCCAGACACTTCCACTGCTAGCAATATAGTGTTCCAGACACTATGAAGACCTCTTCTGTTGTAAAGCACCTGTAAAATCTGATTAAAACACCACAAACATCCTTTAAATGCATAACCAATCTTGCAAGAAAACTAAGAAGGCTCCCCAGAGGCCCAAGTGCAGAGGGACTTGCAAGACAGGGAGGTGAGAAGGAAGAAGATAAGGTTGTGATGACCTGAGCATGTTTGCCCCTCAGATCCTGGGCTCAATGACCCCTGTGTGGGAAGGGGGCTGGTAGTCTTGGGTTTTCATCCTGTTACACGCAACCCTCCCAGCAGGCTTGACCCAGCTCCAGCTTCAAACTTTGCTCCCAAAGAACCCCTACAATAGACAGAGATTCTGCAGGTTTAGGGCTTTACATGGAGCATTCCACCCATGTTTTATTTCACAGATTCAAGCAAATTATATGTTTTCTCCTTCTCTCTCTCTCTCTGTCTCTTATCAGTGCTTCAGGAGAGCTGGTTGGGGTGGTCTCATTTCCTGGGCACTCTGCCATGAGTGCTCAGCCTCAGGGGGTGAGAAGGGCAGGGGAGAGTGTCCATGAACACACCTCAGGTCATAAAGTCATTCCCGAGCCTGCCCCGTGGAAGAAGAGGCCAATGGAGTAATTTTTGGCCCTAATCATCTGCATGAGAAGCTTGCAGTCTGGCAGGAAAAACACAGCAACAGCAGCAGTAGCAGCTTGTCATTGCAGGTGTCAGCTTCTCCAGGCATTGGTTTTCAGGCACGTTCTTCACCCTGCTGATGGTGTCCTATGCTAACCTCTACCCAACATACCCATTCCTTGTCATCATATGGTCTGCCTTTGCCTCCTCCATTGGACCATGAACTATTGAAGGCAAGTGGAGGTATGGAGTTGTATATGCAGCCCAGGGCCTGTAGTATAAGTTCTTGTTGAGCTGTAGGAGTTATTTCTAGATCTCACCTATATACAGTTCTCTCTCTCTCTCTCTCTCTCTCACACACACACACACACACACACACACACACATGCACCTTTTCAAATTCTTCCCGGCCTTGCTTTTATTAGGTCATATATGCAATGCTTTAGATGTCAAACAGCTCTGTTGCTAGGAGTTGGTGGGAGGGTAAGAGGGCTCCTGGGAGGGAGACTGACCACACGGGACACAAACTTCCATTACATCCAGGAGTGTCCGCTCACTCTTGAACCCTCTGAGGGTGGTCGGTATACTTGACCAACACCCATCAGTCTATTTCAGCAACCATATTACCCTCCTAATGGTAGCCCTCACCTCAGGTGGCAGGGACCATCTGCTCTTAAATAAAACTACTGCCTAGCTGAGTCTTTACCCAGCCTCTGTCTTTTTATAGCTGGAAAGACCATAACCCTTTTCAGTGTTTATCACATCTTTGGACATGGGGCACCTTGGTTTTTTTTAATTGTTTATTTATTGTTGAAAGAGACAGACAGAGAGAGAGAGAGAGAGAACAGGGGAGGGGCAGAGAGAGAGAGGGAAACACAGAATCCGAAGCAGGCTCCAGTGTCTGAGCTGTCAGCACAGAGCCTGATGTGGCGTTCAAACTCAAGAACTTGAGTCAAAGTCAGACGTTTAACTGACTGAGCCACCCAGGCACCCCAAGGGCACCTTGTTTTGTAAAGATCCATCTTGATTTCTGTATGATGTGCCATGCTGGGCTATTGGTTATTATCCTTTCTTGAATTCTGTAGCTACTGGCATTGCCTTGAGAGAAGCTTTATCCTGCTTTTTATGCTGACTTAACAATAGCATATGCTTATGCTGGATACTCTGCTCCCCACTGCAAAGAATGCTTCACTAGAAATCATGTTTAGGATTTTTTCCCTCTCTTTAATCTCCCAGATTGTCAGAGGTAAGATGATGGTGGCTGGGGTTGAATGTAGAAATAAGATAAAAAACTGGGCTTGGATGACCAGGGAACACATGCCCTTGTGGGGCAAGGGATTTAGCCTAAGAAGTGATCAGGAATACCTAACACTTAAATGGTATCTACTCTGTGCCAGGTGTTGTTCTAAGCTTTTGACACATATTAACTCATTTAATCCCTACAATGACTTTTTAAAGTAGGCACCAATTCTATTGACATTTTGCAGCTGAGGCAATTGTATCACAGAGAAGGTAACTTGCTAAACGTCACTGAGCTGAGTGATGGCATCAGGATTTAAACCCTTGTTGTCTTTATTCATTATACCATCCTGCTGCTCAAGGGATCAAAGGACCAGACACCAATAAAAATGGAAGGCCCTGGCTACACACAGAGTGGGGTCACAGTTAAGCAGGCAGAGAGTACAATGCGTGCAGTGTCAGAGACTCACAGGTAGTTCAGAGCAGCGATCAGACCAGGCACTGGATTGCTAAACTAGTGAATAACAGACAGGAATTGAGGGTCAAAGGAGTCTGAGTGGCTAGGCAAGTAGAACCAGAAGGACAAGAAAGTACCTAAGGCTATTCTAACTTGGACACAAGTTTAAGGTTTGATGGGCATCAGATAAGGAACTTCTCTATCACAAGGCATTGGTAGCTCCGTCCACAATTGGTTCAACACTAGAGTTGTGCTGCCTATAATATTGCAGCTCTAGCTAGTTGTGTTTCCAGTTTTTCATTGTGCTGTCCTATGCAATACTGAAATAGCAAAGTAGGTGTTCCTCTTATCCTTGTTCTGTAACATGCTTCCAGCAGCTGCCAGTTACCTGGAATGGCTTCTTTTGCCTTCTGGTTGCCTTTTTTTTTAATTTCAAGAAGTGTATTGAATTCCAAGAAGTTCCGGTTGTCTTTTTGTCTTTTTTTTTTTGTGTGTGTGTGTTTTGAATACTCAATTCTAGGTTGAGTATTACCCTAAAAAAGTCTCCCTACAGAACAGAAATAGTTGTTGGCTGCAAACGCATTATTTTTGATGATTATCTGTCACTTTCTTGGCTGCTCTGGAATTTTGTATGGTGGAGTAAGGAGAGGAGAGAGTGCAAATTGTTTCATAAATAGCTCTCTACCTTCTCTGTGTGTTCTATAGTGTGATGGTCAGAGGGAGCATTTAAGAAGAAAATAAGGCAACTCCTTTTTACTTAGATTCACTTTTGGCAAATAATTTTAGGTAATATGTAGAAAGAATGAGAGAGGGAGAAAGGAGGAAGAGAGAGGAAGAGAAAGGGATAAGGAGAGCCACTGGAATGCCCTTGAGTAGGTGAATGGATAAACTGTGGTACATCTAAGCAATGGAATATTAGCACTGAAAAGAAATGAGCTATCATGCCATGAAAATACATGGAGGAAACTTAAATGCACATTGCTGAGTGAGAGAAGCCTGTCTGAAAAGGCCACATACTGTATGATTCCAACTATATGATATTCTGGAAAAGGAAAAACTGGAAAGAGTAAACAGATTAGTGGTTGTCAGAGGTTGGGGAGAGAGGGAGGGATGAACGAGTGGAGCACAGAGAATTTTTAGGGCAGTGGAGCTACTCTGTGTGGTATTACAGTGCTGGATCCAGGTCATTATACATTGGCCCAAACTCATAGAATGTACAACATCCAGAGCAAACACTGGGCTTTGGGTGATTATGATGTGTCAGTGTAGGTTCATCAATTGAAACAAATGCACCATCTGGGGGAGGGGGGGTAGATATTGATAATGGAGAAGGCTATGCATGTGCAGAAAATCTCTGTGACTCTACTTTGTTGTAAATCTAACACTGCTCTAAAAAAAATCTTAAAAGAAGAGAAAGAATGGAGTCATAGCAATAATGGGGGAACTCTCACCAGAAGGCTGGGGTGGCCGAGCCCACTCGATGAATGGATGGCGGTGTTGAATTACGGCTCTCTGACATTTCTCCACATCTCCATTCTGCTCAATCATGTCCACAATTTCCTGAATCCACGTGGTCCCTGGGGCCCAAATGGAAAGGGTGAGATATAGAAACTGGTTAGACAATCTGTCTTAAGTGTTCTGGGTGAAAAAGGGGACGTGGAGACTGATGGTGTTTGGTTCAACCTCCCCTCAGGTCAGGATCCTGTCCTGAACGTCCATGTGGGAAAACCCCACAAGGTCTCTATGGACAGAAGGAGCTGCATGACGTTGTCACCCAAGAGCAATCCATAATAGAGCACAACAGCCTGGATCCTCTAAAGCCATTATGCTTGACCCTAATAAACCCAGGGACATTAGGCATCCCAAGATTGCCTCATCATGGAACAGCGAGAAGGAGCAGCTTTCCTTGAATGAGTGAGTGCACTGTATCAAGGGGGATTATAACTGACATGAGCAGCCCTTTCTTACTCCACAGGCTGAAGTTTGGTTGTCCCCTAACCCCACAGTCACCTGATTTAGGGTAGGTACAGATGAGGAGATCATCTGGCTTGGCCTCAAAGTTCTGGATCTGGCTCCAGTTGTCCACAGTGCTAGCCTGCAGGGGGATCCCTGCCACCTCTCTCAGTTGTAGCTGTGTCCTCAACTCTGTGGTCAGGGCCATACTGTCTTGCAATGGGAGGGGGAGTCCCTGTGGGCACAGGATAGAGGACTTTTAAAACAATTGCGGTAAAATACACATAACATAAAATTTACCATTTTAACCATTTTTAAGTATCCAGTTCAGTGGTATTAAGTACATTCTCATTGTTGTGCAGCCATCACCAACATCCATGTCTAGAACTTTTTAATCTTCCCAAAATGAAACTACACCATTAAACACTAACTCCCCATAGTTCTTTTCCCCTATCCCCTTCTACTTTTTCTATGAATTTGTCTACACTAGGTTCCTCATGTGAATGGAATCATACAATATTTGTCCTTTTGTGACTGGCTTATTTTACTTAGGATAATATCTTCAAAGTTTATTCATGTTGTACAATGTGTCAGAATTTCATTCCTTTTTAGGGCTGAAAAACATCCCACTGTGTGACAAAAACTACATTTTGCTTTTCATTCATCCATGTATGGACATTTAGATTGCTTCTAATGTTTGACTTTTGTGAATAATGCTGTTATGAACATGGGTATTTAAATATTTCTTCAAGATCCTACTTTCAATTCTTTGGGGTATATACCCAGAAATGGAATTGTTAGATCATATGGTAATTTTATGTTTAATTTTTTGAGAAATTGCCATGCTGTTTTCCAGAGTACACAGTACACTATTTAACATTCTCACCAGAAAGGCACAAGGGTTCCAATTTCTTCACATCTTCAACAATATTTGTTATTTTCTGTTTATTTTATTTATTAAGTATATGTTTAAAATGTTTTTAATTTCTAGAATAGTCATTCTAATAGGTATGTGGTGATATTTCATGTAGTTTTGATTTTCATTTCCTTAATGATTAGTGATGTTGAGCATCTTTTCATGTGCCTATTTGTCATTCATATATCTCTTTTGGAGAAATGTCCATTTAAATGTTTAGCCCATTTTTTGAATCAGGTTTTTTGTGTGTTTTGTTCTATTGAAAGAAATGTATGAAATGCACAAAATGAGAAAGCCAGGAGAATGGGCCACTATTACTCCAGAATAATTGGCTACTGCGATCCCAGAAGACATTTATTGCTACTGCTAGTAATTAAATATTACTTAAAAGCTAACATTTATTGAACACTTCAATTTGCATGTGCTGGGATGAGTTCCTTGTATACATAAATTTAACTATTGTATATAAATTCAGTGCCAGGACTTTAGAGTTGAAAGCATCCTTACAGGAAATGTTCCATACTTACTGGAAATTGAATAAGAGAATCTGGCCCAGCCTTTCCAGGCAGTGGGTGAGAGGGAGTTTGTGCTACCATAGTAAGGCTCGTTTTCAAGGTTCTACTCTCAGAGTGAGGTAAATCTCTTAGAATGGAGACTATGTTTTAAGAAAATGAAAGATGAACTATTTCCAAAAAAAAAAAAAAAAAATTCAAGTGTAAGAAACAGCTGGTTTGATGATATGTCAAAGAAGGTAGAGTTTGGATAATATCAAAATTACCATGTGATCAACATTAAGAGGGAGGTGGGAAGAGAACTAACATTTCTTTAAAAAAATATTTTACTGTTTATTCATTTTTTGAGAGACAGTGAGAGACAGAGCATGAGTAGGGGAGGGACAGAGACAGAGGGAGACACAGAATTGGAAGTAGGTTCCAAGCTCTGAGCTGTCAGCACAGAGTCCAATGAGGGGCTCTAACTCACCAACCATGAAAATCATGACCTGAGCTGAAGTCGGACGTTTGACTTCCCAGGCATCCCAAGAGCTAACATTTCTTACAGGCCTTCTATGTTAGATCTTTTATAGACTTTTCTTTTCTCTTTTAATTCATATCACAATTTTATAATTTACATTCATAAATGTGAGGAAGCTGGGAGTCACATGATCAATAAGTTGTCCAAGGTTGTAGCCAGTGTGTGTCTGCAAATTCCAGATTCCTTTAAAAAAAAATTAGCTCTCTAGGGGCGCCTGGGTGGCGCAGTCGGTTAAGCGTCCGACTTCAGCCAGGTCACGATCTCGCGGTCCGGGAGTTCGAGCCCCGCGTCGGGCTCTGGGCTGATGGCTCAGAGCCTGGAGCCTGTTTCCGATTCTGTGTCTCCCTCTCTCTCTCTGCCCCTCCCCCGTTCATGCTCTGACTCTCTCTGTCCCAAAAATAAATAAACGTTGAAAAAAAAATTAAAAAAAAATTAGCTCTCTTGTTTTTTATTGTGAATGTATATATGTACCAGAAAATTTGGAATAAGCCCAAATGTATGAAGAAAAATTATTTTTATGTTTTTATGTTTTTTTCAAATATATATTGATATGTCTATATTGAGGGGCACACACAATTATAATCTACAATATAAAAATATTCCAAAAAAGATGGGATTCAGAGAGCTTCTCAGCTGATGAACACGTGGAGGTGCTGGAAGCATGGTACCCCTGGAGAAAGCATGGAAACTTATGCCCCTTCCCACACACCTTTCCCTATGCATCTTTCCCATCTGGCTGTTCCTGAGTTATATCCTTTTCTAGTAATCCAGTAATATATTAAGTGAAGTGTTTTCCCAAGTTCTATGAGCCATTCTAGCAAATGAATTAAATTCATGGAAGGGGTCATAGGGACCTTCAACCTAAAGGTAGTTGGTTAGTGGGGTGACTGGGTGGCTCAGCTGGTTAAGTGACCCACTCTTGATTTCACCTCAGGTTGTGATCTCATGGTCGTGAGATTGAGCCCCATGTGGAGCTCTGCACTGAGTGTGAGCCTTCTTTAAGATTCTCTTTCTCCCTCCTCCTCTGCCTCTCCCCCCATTGTGTGCACACTCCCCCATGTCAAAAATAAATTAAAAAAATAAAATAAAAAGTGGTTGGTTAGAAACACAGGCTGTAATATGAATTTGTGACTGGCATGTGAAGTCAGGGTTGAGGGGAGCAGTCTTGTGGGGACTAAGCCCTTAACCTGTGGGATCTGATGCTATCTCTAGGTAAAGAGTGTCTAAACTGCCAGTATCCAGAAAATCTGAGGATTGCTTGGTAAACCGCCCCCACCCTGTCCCATATCTGGTCCCAGAAAGTATAAAGTATGTATGAAGTATGCTACTTAAGTAGCATAAAGGAGAGGCACAGAAAGAGTTCTTCCTTTACAGGCATAAAAGCATAAAATTTCCACTTGAGAAACCAGCTGGAAACTTTGTCATCCCTTCAGGTCAGGGGCCTCCTTTGTGAAGCTGTCTCTGACTCCATGGACAGAAAGAGTTGTCCCTTCTCATGGGATCTTGTAGCATTTTGTGTGTAGATTTTATAGCTCTCACTCCACTGTCCTACAATTACTTCTTTTTATTTCTAGCCATCCTGAAGCTCAGGGACCTACCTGGTCTAGTCCCCTTTGTAGGCTCAGCATGTAGGGGAGAGATCCAGGTGGGAAGGAGAGATGATATTATGGGACAGGGATTTTGGAGATTTTTGACTCAGCTTCCTGAATTTCTAGACTTACATTGTTAATCTGGTATTTGTTGGTTATAAATAACTTTTATTTTTTAGGTTCCTTAAAATATTCTCTGGCTTTAGTTAAGCACTTCTATTTATATCAATATAGCAGCACCTACATAAAAATTTGAAAAATAAATCAGTGAGTTGAGGATTTCTTTTAAGCCATATTCTTACCTTCAAGTTCCAGCTGAAAATCGGCAGCCCAAAGTCCTGACCAAGGGTCAGTGGACACACAAAATGCATTCCAAGGAAGCAGGGTAGCATTCCCTGGGTATGGCAATTGCAGAGGCTCAAATTACCACTGTGTCTGAGGCATACGGGGCCTTCAGCAGGTAAAGGCCCTTTGGGGGCTCTTGGCATCCATGTGGTAAGTTGGAGCCATTCCTGGAAGAATTAGTCCTGAACAGGAACTAGCCCTGTGACCTGGCCTGATGTGGAAGAAATGTAAACAAGGTCAAATGTGGCTTTGACCACTCTGCAAAAATATCAGCTCCCTTGACTTGATGCAAACTTGAGGGTTGTGTGGATGTTCCTTCCTCTGAATTGGCTTCTCAGTATCTGTGCATACTCGGTGGATAGCTGAGTTTGGCAGCAGAATCCAGCTTTCAAGTTGCTGGAGTTTCTCTGCCTGGCAGAGAATCTAAAACACCTGGGCCTGTGGGAAAACAGGAAGTTGGCTTCAGGAGCAGATGCATCCAGCTCCAGGTAGACTCTTGCTCCTTTGGTGTTCTTTCGTTTGACTTCTTAGCCTGACTCCCTGTGAGTGACAGTTCCTGTCTCCAACTGATGTTTTAAGATTAAAACCAGCAATATTAATGAAAACACCTTTCCTAGTACATAGTAAGTGCTTAAAATGCTGGTTCTTCCCAACCTGTATTTATCCAAGCCTAAATGCAGAGAGGACAGACCACAGTCTAGAGCTTGGTGTATATCTATTTATACCTTGCCTTGTCCTACATAGGGTGTACTTTTATGGAGGCAAATTATAATCCCTAGTATCCTTGGCTACCTGGAAATTTAATCCATTCTTGTGTTAAATAATCTCTGTTACTGCTATAGTTTTGGCCAACTCCCAACCTTGTTTATGACCCAGGGCTTTTCTTTCTTGAGTTCAAGTGTAACCAGGCACCCTAGCCTCCATTTCTGACAATGTCTTCTTGTATTCTTTGACCGCACCCTCGGATGCTTCTTCACTGACATCTCTGCCTCCTGTTTTCCAAAGATTTTTTCTATAATCTCAACCCATTTTTCTTCATTCTGCTCTCTTCTCTTTGACAACCTCACTGATTTCAGTGCTGTTAACTCATGGAACCTTGGATAACTCGTAAGTTCCCAGCACTAGCTCGCTATCTTTTTCTGTGAAGTCCCTCATTACCAGCCACCTACTAAGGTTCTTCCAATGTCAGAGACACCTGGCATTGTGTACTTCACCTGCCCCACATTCTCTGCTGTAAAGGTAGCACTATTATCCACACCTGAAGCATCACCTTGGACTAAGGATGGGAAAGCCCCCCTACTTAGCAATGTCAGTTATTAACATATAG